TGCTGAATAAACGCCAATGCGGCACACACTGATCTTTAGTGGACAGCTACTTGTGTGAGTTCGTCTGGAGGCAAAGTTACCGAAAAACGGACCTTTTCATGTAAATTATTAATGACATGTCCCAATTTCACCCTCTTCAAAAAAAAACTAAAAGTGCGAATTTCATATCCTCTTTTTTCTAATCTTTTTTGGGTGGCGGAATTCGGTAATTGAGCTGGCAGCAGCATCTGCGGAAGAAGACTGAGGGTCAAACGTTTTTGTCGCGTTCACCGACATACTGCGCATCAGAGATTCAACAAGCCTCAGTTGTGCTTCTTCGAACTGCTTCTGTTGTTGCTGTAAAATTAATTGGAGTTGCTCTGTCGAAATTGACATCGTGGGTTCGGGTTGTCGGCCAGCCATCCCCATAACCGAGCAGAAAGGACTTTGTACCGGCCTACCACGGTCATTCCGAGATGCATACACCTCTAAATGCTCATTTAGACATCTGGATAGAGACTGACGAGAACACCTCTGGTATCGGTCCGCAGCCATATCTTGCAACCTCACCGAACTTGCGCAGTTGTCACATGGACCCCACTCAGGAAGGCGAGTCGTGCAGTCATTACCCGGACTTTTTGAAATTACTTCCACACGCGTCTCATTAAACACCCCACTGCTCCCGCCAGCCTGAATCGGGCGCGCAAAACAGTTATCTTTTAGGCAAACGATGGTTCGGCATTCACAATACTTGACCGAACCACCACAGCTTTCTGTGGTTGAAGTCCATGTTGCACAACCGAGCACGTGCTTCCTAATTGTCTTGTTGTAGATTCAAGGGCGCCAGGCTACACTACCTATAGTTCGGAGACTGCGGCTGTCGAAGATCTGAAGACGTATTTGTCCGGCGGTTCAGATCTCACATCCATAAAACAATTCAACGATTGTTCAGCTGTAACATTGATTTTCCAAAGAAATATGCTAAACCATGGTTCCAGACCAACGCCGAGAAAATGTCTTTCCTGGTGTACTTGGTGGAAGATACCACTTACGGAATCCAACGGCCACGGTGGCAGTTTTGTTCCATCAGTCTGGACGTTCCCACTACAGGCTATTCGCAACTGGTTGTGCAAACCTGGGGGTGTCCCCTCGAACAAAGGATATGACGCTAGCAGTGTTACTCCTATTATATCATCTCGTGACTTCACGAACATGTCCAACTCAATCAACTCATGATAGTTCGGCCTTCTCAGAAAGCTTCGACTTCCTGCTGCAAATATGGAAGAAGTCTTGAACGTTGATGAGTGTTCTGGACTTTACCGTCAATATCGTGATACCTTTGACGAAAGCCAGGCAATACAACCACTTCTGCGCGACAAAACCAGAATACTTCCGCCGACTGTTAGACCAATACGATCTTCAGATGAGAGACCTACAAGCATTGATATTGGAGCCTCGCAGCATTAACGGTGAGCCGCCTTGTCGGGCACATATTTGTTTGCCGGTCGTCTCAGAAGAGAATAGCTCCAGGAGAGGATCGTATTTTCCCCTGATTTGTATTACCTCAATCATATCATCCGCACTCTCTTGTTTGGGAACGGAGTGTATCCCTTCTGACTGGAGAATCGCTAGTTTGCTTCAACCTCCAATAAAGACGACAAAACAGTACCAGGAAACTACCAAGGGATCTGTCAGGTGGTTTCATGACTTTTTTTATCTACTTGACGTATCTTCACGTACGAGATGCTCAACTACGATCCAATCAAGGTATTTTGTGCCGCAACGTACGAGATGCTCAAATACGATCCAATCAAGGTATTTTGTGCCGCATGAGAGGCAATGTGGACCAAACACTCACTTTGCATTGATATATGGAGCATGAAGCCCATTTCCATCAATGTTTTGATTTTCGTCCTCCTTTCGGTTCTGTGCATTGTGAATACTTATGGACGGTGCCCCATAGTGATCATGTACCATCCAAACTAACTGCCCTCATCAAAGATTATTACTTGTCAACGAGGGCTCGAATTTATGGTGAAGGCACCTTGGTGTTCGACAAGAATCCGGTTTTATTCCACTTCATAAGTGACCGGATGATGCAGCAGGCACTGGATGGATCCTCTGGCATCCAACTGTGCTCAACCGTTCGACTTCCAATATCGTTGGCTTCGCTTTACTGTAAGAAAACGCAGCTCTACAAGCCGTTCTCAGTCGGGTCTCCTACCATACGAGGCTTATCGAATTGGCAACCAAAACCGGTGTTGCAGAATTCTTCTCCAAGCATGCAGCTGCGCGCGTGTGACTCCTATAATTGGATGCGCGCGCTTTGATACCTGGGCTCTACCATCCGTGGGTAGCAAAAGTACAGGACATTTTTGAAGTCGACCTATTCTGTCACCAAAGACAATTGCCTTGAAGTAAGGATGGAGGAAAGAGGTGGTTTGGTGCCCAGCTGCGAAACAAGACGTCTCAGAGATCGTCGAGATTGGTAGAAATTCTTCGTGATAGCGGTAAGTAGTGCGAAACGGGCCAAGAACGAGAGCCGAACGTGTTACTCGATTGTCGCTCGGTAGATGGACCGGTTCGAGAAACATCTTTTGGCTATTCTTAGACTAAAGCTACTTGTTGTACCAGGGTAACAGTAATAATAACAATCGTTCAGCTGTAGCACCCTTTCGGTGCCTAGCTACCATGCCACACGAAGGAGGGCTGGGATACTGCCACGTCGCCCAAGCCTAGACAGGGGAAGTCGAGAGAGTGAAGTCCGGTTCGAACCACGAACCTTCCGGTTAGTAAATTCGCGCTCTAAACACTTGGTTCATCTCGCCTATCTCGTTCCAAGATATGTCAGACCGAGTTTTCTAATCCTAATGTATGCAGAATAAGCTATTGGGGGCTGTAAGTTTCCCCGTCGGTGCTACTCTATAATACAATTTTACAAATCGGGCGATGAGCTTCCTAATGTTTTGTGTGTAGGTTTAGGTCAGGACATGTGAAACCTAAAATCATGGAGTGTCGTAGCTAATCGAAAGTCAAGTTTACCGCCGATCCATCCTGATTTCGAGCTGTGGCGGAACTCACCTATCACTCTTGTTCAAATCTGTACTCAGTCATACTCTAGGGATCGCTCGGTCCGCCTTTCAGACGTCCTCGTTTATTGCCTCCTTCCAGTCCATCAAATTGACCGACAGTGGACACGACCGTTTTCGACCACCAAAACCTTTGTCTTCTAAGCTTTCGACCAACTCATGGTTTAGCTTTTCAACGGCTGGCGTGCACTGGTATAGCCGGTACCTGTATGTATGCATTCCCCAGAATCATCTTGAATCTTTGATGTAGACTATGTCCAGTTTACCTTGATTGTGTAATTGAACCATGACAGAGCTTTATGCACCCTGAACACACCCTCATTTGCACACCGCCTCATACCGTACATGGACTTAGGAGTTTTTTCCGACCAGCTGAGATCGGTATTACAGTTCTGTTTTCAGATGTTCACCGGACTTCGCATGATCCAACTAGAGTTGCGGGCCTTAGAAAGAACAACAGTTTTGAAATACAATCCCCATTGGTAGCTAATAGCCAGTTGATCCATTTGGGTCTACTTTGGTTACCGTCAAGTCAAACAATGTAAACCCTCATGTGAGTTAACACACAACTGAGAAAGGTTCTATTCGTTACTTCCAAGGAGCCATACACTCTAGTTTACCGGTAAAAGCATGCTTCCACAGGACTCTGACTTGGACATTGGCATCACTCACATGGATAGTAATGTCCTGGCGAAATCTCAACAGAACGTATTTTTCTCGTCGCCCAAACTAGTGTCGATTGGAGTGGCATTGAATTTAACGGAACTGGTAGCTAAAATATCATCTTTTCGGTGATACACCGTACGTTGATTTCAAAAGAAGGTAAGTCATGAATGTGGAAAGCCTGTTGTTTGGTGGAGTGCAAACATTGAGAGCCTTTAGGAAGGATTTCGTGAGCTGAATCAAGTACCAATGAAATACAGTCACTTGTATAGTAAGTTGGTGTTAACGGGAGAATCCGCTAAATCCCAGTTGAATCCTTCGTTAACTGCATTGTTCAAATGAATATATTGCAAAAGCACCGCATCGTGTTTCAGTTCGTACGGTGTGGTATCGTACGTATCGTATGCTGATATCTCGCCATTACTCTCAAGGTCGTCGGCAACTCATCGACAACGCATCACTGGTTTCTCTCTGAAGTTCATCGAAGAGGCGCAATCCCTGAGTTCCCACCAACCTTATATTCTGTTTAAACTGCGTATGCCCCCTCTTCCCGACTTCCAATGAAGTGGTGAACCTCCGCATTCGGACTCTGCCAGTAACATCACTACTTTACCGTTTGTAACTTAATTAATCCTGTTTAATCAACTTCCTTCATGACGTTTCAGATGTCTCTTGCGGAGCAACTCAAGCGCTTGTCAGTTCCGGCAACCTCTAGTTATGCGGTGGAATCTGTACGACGAAAGTCTCTGGTTTACGGAGATCCATCGAAAGTAGATACACTTCTTTGCTTTCACGAAAGTTGGTTTAATCATTCATTTTGTTGCTTTATTGCTCGATTCAGGTTGCAAGGCATTTGAAACGTTATCCAAACGAGATGACGTGTTTGTGCAGTTTCGGAAGACGCTTTTCGCTGAGACATCATGTCATCTGGAAATGTGCAATTTGTTTCCCAATGAGAAGGCACAGCTCGACTCACAAGTTGCTCGTTTCCTGTGTTACGTCTCCCCCTATTTAAAACATTTTGATGCCTTACAGTCGATGGAATGGCTTGTTCACAAGTTTGCTATATAGTACCCTTCTCCGTATTCTTCAATTCGTCTTTAGGTTTCAAATCCACCATTATTACGTTGAAGATTATGTGCGTTGTGTCATGCCGTATCATGAAACTGGGCTGTTTGCAAAATTCCTACAGCTTATTGACTTCCAGACATGTGCGCCGGAATTTCGGTGGTTGCGACCTTACGCCGTAAGTTACGTTATTTCTTACGGATCCCTATGCTATACTGTACCTTGAGGTATTTTTTCTTCAGTCATTGCTCGCTTTCAAGTGGGTGTTCATGTTTTCTTGTACATAAATCCTGGTGTACGAGTAAGTGGTCACATTCCTCTCCTAACCTTAAAGTAATACAGAGAAGTGAAACGTCATCACTGACAGGTGCATAGACGTAGGGTACTGATACGCTCATGCTGTACACTTAGGTCGACGCATCCAAACAAAGTTGTTTAGTGAAAAAAGGAAACGGAAATGAGCTTGTTGAAAACGTTGCAAACCTATTCACACAGTTGGATTTAGCCTCCTGAACGCCAGTAACCAGTCCACAGTCTCACTTCTCAATATCTTTAGCCGAGCATAAAGAAGCAGCTGTCTCCATTCTTGAATGTGAATGCCACAGTAGACGCCCAACTTCTTCGTTATCTCCATTCATGCTTTATGACCTGAGTGTGATCAGTTTTGTCAAGTATAACAACACGGCGTTATGATTACCCCGACACCAGTTGCGCTCAACTTACTAGTTGTTTCTAATGGGCCTCGTTTCCATTAGCTCGACCGATCCATAGGTCTTGGGATAAACGCTCTACGTGGATAGACCGAAAGTAAACCACCAAAACATTTAGTGTGAACTTCGTCTTCGCTCGACTGCCGTCACGGCCATAGCGACCGGAATTTTCACTGTGGGCTTCCTACTAAACATGTATCTCCCCCACGAGCCTCATGAGCTTTTATACACACCCATAATTAGTAAAGTACTAGCTATCCTCGATCTGCGCCTCAGTGTCGCAGAATTACAAACCGAAAGCTAGTGAGTTGAATACGTTGCTTGTTTATCCATCTTTTGAACCGTAGTGCATTTCTTACTGAGAATCCTCAGCTATCCTTTATTTCGCTGATTTGTAAAATGTCATGGAGTGTGGATCGTTTCTGAGTAGTTTGTTTGTCTATCAAAAAATCACAGTATATTTAGAAGTTTCAGCATTCTTCCAAAATCTGTTGGGGGTATACCGTCTCCACATGGAAACAGAGACCATTCCATAATTTTTCTGACTCTAATTAATGTTTCAGGAAAGTGGGAAATGTCTTTCGAAAACATATTTAGAAGTTTCAGCTTTCTTCCAAAATCTGTCGGGGCTATACCGTCTCCACATGGAAACAGAGACTATTCCATAATTTTTCTGATTCTAATTCATGTTTCAGGAAAGTGGGAAATGTCTTTCGCGTTTGCAGTTCGTACGTGAATGCACACGTCAGCGATCCTTTGTGCCTTTCTTATGTTCGATGATCCTGAATGCGGTGAAGGTGAGTCTACGAACGGTTCCACTGATAATCTTCATCTCGGTTCTATGCATAGTTCGGGTGTGGCCGCTCATTATAGAAAATTCTTTAATTACTGAATATTTCTGACTGTTTTCTCTTTTAGCGGAATTGTTTTGTGTCCTCGTTAAAGGACATCATGTGTCAGTACTAAATAGTGATGTCCAACTTCCGTACTAATATGAGGAGATGTTGTTAGAGCGGGAATTTACTTACTGGAAGGTACGTGTTTGGAACCCGACCTCTGCATCTCGACTTTTCCTGTCTAGGCTGGGGTAACCTGGAATTCTCTCAGCCTTCATCCTTCAATCAGGTGGCATGGCAGCTAGGCAACGAAATGGTGTTACAGCTGAAGGATACTAACAGTAATAAACTAGGTCGAAGTTGCGGAGGAAAACAGGGGAGACTTGAAATACCGTATGCCTTTGGATAAAACTATCAAGAGTCCACGATGCGCTATGTATGTATCCTGTTGTAACGGTGTAGAAACTGCAATTTCTCGGTTGTCGACGGTCGGTATGTAGGAAGCAGTGAAGGCTTCATCCAAGAAACGATAGCATGCGCCAGATCAACACACGGACTGTTGATATAGGTGCAACTACCCAATTTATTATTGGACGTTGTGGAAGTCCACGAATCCTATACCTTCGACCTGCTCGATAGAAACACCTGCAAATTAGCAAATTAGCTTTTTCTGACCCACTATTCTTATGGGCTTTGAGCCAAAAGAAGTTCAATCATGGTACCAACAGGCAAATTTCAGTTGTTCGTTCCAACCTTTAAATACTGGAATCCTCACTAAGACAACCGGTTGCGTACCATGTCTGAAGGGTTCCAAGCCACGTGAACCGGAAATTCCATGAGCTTCCACCGTGAAGGCGCTAAGATTCAGTGGCACTCGGTTTGGCATTGACAACCTTCGTCCAGCGTTTCCGTAACATGACCTAGAAATGTACGAAAATAGTTCCTAAGAAAGATGTCCTATCTGGATTTCTGAGTTATTTTGGTTTTCTCCGGATATCTGGTTTGGCTGCACTCTTGATATACGCTCTTTGTTATCTGCTATCTCTACCTAGCTTTGTGAGGGCTTAGCAGCAAACAGACTGAACGATATGACCAACCTCTTCCTGACAACCGTCACCGCTCTGTGTGATTCTGGAATGCCCGATGCAAAGTTGGCAAACATAGTTGATGCGTTCCAACATGTCATCCGAACAGGACTTTTATCCATGGACTGTCCACCCTTCCAGTCTGCGTCCTGCCTTGTCATTCTTCGCATCAGTTTGAAATTAAATCTCAACCGTGAATTGGTTTTTGGATGGATTGACTGCCTTTTGAAACGAACACGGCCAGAGAACGCGTGGGAAATGCTGCGGGTTATCAACAAACTGATGCGCGCTCAACACATTGCCTTACTACCCACGCATTTAACTGAGAAGCATTCTACTGTACTAGGAATGCTTACTTCCGCGGAACGTAAATTGATAGAAGACGAAGAGGCCAGTCTACTGAATCAATTTGACGCGAATGCTCTAGCTGCGGAAGCCATGACTAGCGAATCGTCTGGTGTACGTTCAAAGACGTTGGTACGTCCCGTCACACCCATTTACTCTACCCAGTTTGTCCAATTGGTGTTGTTTTTGTGTACCTCTTTAACTCTCGTGTTCTTCATTCCTAAACAGTTTATGGATGTAGAACTTTCACGTTCAGAAGTTCCCTCCAGGATAAGTGGTTCGCCTGACGACTCAAGTCTTGTCGAATATCACTCTGAGGTCCAAGTGGCCCACGCATTGCTTGCTTCACTCCCTGGATCTGGTGGCGTTTGCTTGTTCGGAGACAGTGGAACCTGCGTCTGTCCAAAATTGTCCGAAGTTCATTGTGATCAAAACTGGCTTCGCAATCTGATTATGCTCGTTGTATCAGAACCTCTCTTGGTTACCGATTCCTCCAAGCTTCCAAAAAGAAACGTCCATCGCGCACGCCAGCTACTACAGTTTGTCCGATTGTCGACAAAAGCGCATATCAACGTGTGTAGTACTCCTCCCTCACCACCACACACGCGCGCCTCCAGTCAGAACAAAAGTCCAGGTTCCCAACGTCCTTGTACATCCAGTGCATTGTTCTCTAAATCAGAACGTCTTTTGGAGAGTGGACTAGATCTTGGTAAGTTCGAATCGACAAATCGTGTTTTGTCACTATTCATCTTTCGTGGGTGTTTGGATAGAACTTGCAGTGAACTTATCAATTTCTGTGGTTTCAAGGGTCGGCGGCTGTCGAAAGCCAAAACGATCCACGTGTTTTTTCATTAGTAATTTTCACATCCAATGTGAATGAAACGAAGTTTTCATATTTTTAAATACGGAGCTGTATTATATCTTCTGATGGTCGCGGGAACTTTAATCATCTTGTAATCTGATTCAAGAGCAAGCAATCTTTGCTGGCCACAGGACAATAGGTGGAAGGCGTGACATCTTGAGTACCTTACAATACCCGATCATAGCCATAACAGCCAATTTCTGCGGTTTGGTTTAATGTCAGATACTTGGAAGTCGAAAATTAGGTCCACCTTATGTAATCAAAGCAGATTTCACCTCCGATGTCACTATAAAAAGTGTCAACTCACAAAACACGGGAAAAAGTATGTTGAAGATCAAAAGACTTTTTCCTCTCAGCAGGGAGTTTGCAACAACGCAACGGTCAGCGTGTTCTTCATCGGACTAATTGCTCATCAACATTATCGTAGCCCGTCGTATCCTGCCTTCCTGACTGGGCTCCTTCCTACGAGCTTTCTTTTCCAAATCATGGGTCGTTTTCTCCATCATGTTGATTGTCTGAATGAAATACCACTGAAGTTTGTTCCTTCTCATATTGTTTCCCCTTTAGCTCTCCCGTTGCTCTTCACCTGTCTACTGCATCCGGCGTCCTCTGTTCGCACTGATGTTTATTCCCTGTTGACATCCTGGTTTTCCAAACTTCATCGACTTGGTTGGAATTCACCTGGAGCTCCCAATTTGAGAAAAGCGTTGATGCTGCTTGGTACGAACACGTCTGATAGCTCCACGGGATCGCCTAAATGCACGTTGTCTGCAAACGTCTTCGAACTACTTCGTGGTGATCCCTTGCCCATGCTCAGCAAATCTGCTCCCATCCTCACTCGCCTGACAGTGAACTTGCTCTTTAGGTAAATGATGTATTTGGTCACTGACATCCCGTGTGGCTTATGGAGTGTGCCAGCCGTACGTAACGATTTTTTCGGGTTTTACTGCGTACTGTTCAACCTCCATCCCATAAGGTACCGCAAAATTCCGCACAGGGTTGCTACGGATTACCGTGATGTCGTTCTTGAACTGGTACGGTGTTATAACAACGGTGTTTGAACACCGATGGCATGCTATCGATTATGATGGTGATGTTCTAGATTTAGTTATTCCTCTTTTCTTTTGTTCTTCACAGTGAATCGATCTTCGGCACATTGTGGCATAGAGCTGTTCACTTTTCCATAGATTGGCCGTGATTTTTTTTCATCAGAAAACAGCAATGCAACATTGCGATGTTGAGTTCTGTGTCAACTTTTCGTGCAATTACATTTCTCATGATTCTTCCCGATAAGGAACGGTCTGAAATTACCGAATTTTGACCGCACTACTATATTCTTGTCATTTAATTTATTCTTGGCAGTTTTAATGGTTTCATCAGTCTATATAATCCAGATTCATTTTACTGCATCCCCGGGCCCACTGAAACACGTTGAGTCATTCTCGAATGGGGCTATATTCCCTCACATTTATATCGTTTACTCAGCGTTTCCTCATTGATTCCGTTTTAGTGAACCCTTGCCACGCATCTCTTCTACGGTTGGGTCGAAGTACGCGTTGGTTTGTTGGGCAGCTGGGCTCAAACTCCTTTCAGAAGATACTATTCACGAACTCTTCTCCATTCGCCCCACGAACTCAGATAGTCTGGTTGGTTGGTCCGGATTTCTTCATCTGCTGCGCACTCCAGATGAGAACTACGCGGCATTACAATCCATATGTTTGTCACACCTAAATAGTGCTTTGTTTGTGGCGATTTCCGCAATGACGCGTTCGGACTCACTCTCTGGGAGGCCTTCCCTAGCGTCGTCGCAAACGCCGACTGCTATTCCAGTAGAATCACCTCAAACGGATGTCTTGGACGCTCTATGCGACCTCGGATTCACCGATTCAGCCAATTTTGCCATCTTGGGAACTTCACTAAACCGCGTACGTTTACTTTTAAATTTCCATCCACTGTACTTATTTTTGTATTTTACATCCCTCACTTCGTTGTTTTAACAGGTACGGATTATGCTCGTGTTGCTCTACCCTACCATTCCACAAATCCAAAGGTCTTCTGAAGGGCTTTTTGAAGCGAAGACACCTTGTTCTACCAAAATATCGTTAAAAAAGCATAACTCGTCCTTCCTCCTGTCTTCCCCTTCGTAACCGCTGGTTCGCTGAACATCATTCCGGATACGTTTGCCATTTCGAGCGTCGGTCCCCATGGCCGGTTGCTTTACTCTGTTATCACTGAAACCATTTGAAATAATCTACTAGGCATCAATAAGTAGCGTGTTACTTGCGCACTCCTCAGTGCCGAAACCGTGTTATGGTAGGCGGGCGCAAACTTTAGATGTTGAATTCTCGGCTATCAGCTTAAGTGCCGTCACATATTATCTGGACAAGCACCTTTTGTGTTTTCTTCTGAGGTGACCACACTCGCTTCAAGCCGGACCGGCCTCAGAACAACGCTGCCTTCCCTAACGTAAAATTGAAATTAAAATGTTTTCCCCCCTCCTTGACGCTATTGCAATAACATATTTACTGGTTAGATTCAGCGTCTATCGCGGCTTGTCAAATTGGACTGTTTTTGACGGAATACACTCAGTTGACGTTTCTCTACGTGTATGACAACCACTGTAATAGCGAAAATCCTGGGAGCCGCACGTTTCGTCTGTTAGTTGAAATAGCTCATCGTTTCGACCAAGAAAAACAACATATTGGAAGTTGGAACCTGACCAACACAGAAACAAAAAAGGCTGGCTTGATCTTTAGGTGAGTGAAAAGTAGAATCCAATTCGCATGCAACTGTTTGTGTTTCCAGATTCGAACCGACGATGATTGGTTGCATCAAGTTTGGAATGTCGGTTCCCTTGTCACTCATCTTGCTCAACCTTTCTCTCGTCTGGTGTCATGTCGTATCACCTAGTCGATAATTGGAAGCTTGTAGACCTGTTGACACATGAAGGGGTCTTATGAATTGTTTCGAATTTATCACGACAGCTCACTGTATGTACATCTAGATTTTGGCTGATTGAGCCCCATCCTTGTCTGGTTAGCTTGCTGTTAAACCCAACAGCTGAATTCGTAGAACAAGAAGCCTCCAGTTTCGCTTGGGCCAAGATTCAGGATGCTGAGTAATTGTTCCTTGTTTGTAATGCGCTAAGATTCCACTATTAGCCTCATTCTTTTGGGGATCCATTAGGTAACCTATGTACAGGTGTGTTTGGTGGCACACCTGTCTGGCACCTTGGGCACACGCATATTACTAGCCAGTGTTAGACTTTATTCAACTTGATCTGTGTAACTATGGTCACAGAAGGCCGCTTCTCGCACCGTTGTAGGCCTAACGCTTCGGGCTACCTACAGCATTAAATTTGTTCCTTCCTGTCAGTAGTTCAACTGAACGATGTCACCTTCGGATAGATTGGGGGCTGGATTACTAATAGGCTACACCTCCATGACATTCTGTGATTAGTCGTGGTTCAACTAGATTCCGTTCTCGCGATGGTCATTGAAAGTTGCTTCTAGCCCTATCGTAAGCTTATCAAACCAAATCGATTCGTGTATTAAGATATTTTCGTAGGTTTTGCCTTTACGGATGGCCATGGAAAGTTGCTTTTAGCACCTCCGTAGGCTCATCTACCTAGTAATCTCAGAAAGCTAAGGAGGATTTGGTAAGCTTACTTTATCCGATGGCGGATCTGATAGTATCCGATGTGACCAGCGCGAACTCGGCCGCAGTCGCAACACTTCCACTTTCTTCCGTCTCCAGGTCCGACAGCTTTATGTACACCCTCCGTCTTACATGTTTCAGCCTCTTGCTTGGATTTGGCGATGTTTGAAGTATCCAGATACCGTTTACCAGTGTTTCGTTTCTTCGCGCTCCGCTGGCTATATAGAACCTGCCTCGGAATCTTTTTCCTATCCTGTCGGCAAACATGTCTTAACTCTCGTAGACGACTGAGTATATTCTCAGCCTCCATTCCATCACAGTATGCCCGTTGGAGGACCGCCGTACCCGGCACTTGTCAAGTCCAGGGGGCACCTATCTATCTTATGCAGTGCACATAGATGTCGCTGTGGTGGTGTGCACGTTAGTACATAGTCCGTGTTTCAATGTCATACAGGAGCAAAGACGAAACCGTCGCCCTTTAGACGTGCAGCTTGGCCTCCACTCGCAGGTTCTCCCACATCAGTTTCTCGAGTTTACCAGAAGCCACAACAGCCTTGGCAACGACAGGTCTTAGCTCACTATCAATAGTTATGTCAGCAGACAATATACTTCCGAGGTTGGTGCAAGTTTGTGCGGAACAAAAGCCTTCTGGTTTATTTTCGGGCCATGCAGCGCGCAGCGGTCGAAAACTGGGCTAGGTGCTGCAGTCCATTGTGCGTTCACTACACGAAGGTCTGCAAACATGAGGATGTGGACCTTGATCTGATGAACCAAACTGTTAATACCAAAACGTCTAATATTGAACAGGCATCTGGTACTCGAACTATGAGCCAGCATCTTCGTTCGTGGAAGCCGAATTCATGATGGCCGTTAGATATTGAAGACAGCTGGGGCAAGACCGCCAGAGAGATTTTCAAAATCACTTGAATTCAACCCTTGCGTGTGCAGCTTTGTTCCCACTCCGTCATTTAGGCCATATATATACCCTCATCGTTCGCCTTAGTAGATTCATGAACAAATGTCTGTTGCTGACAAGGATAATCTAATCTATCCCGGCCTTTGAGTACCAGTCCTAAAGATCATTCATGCGTGCCTTGGGTTTTACCCTTTGCTTTACCCCAATATGTCTGTCACCGAATTGGTCGTGTGCTGCCAGTACCAAGGTTCAGGGTCATTCAGGTAACGTATCTTGTTAGTGCTGTCATACCGTTTTCGTTCCACATACGGAATTATTTCCTCAACTATGCAAAAATATTCCAACCGCCAGACCTGACAGGCGCAAACTGTGCAATTCATTCAGGTGTGCGTGGCACGTATCAACTGTTTTCGTAGCGAGCGCGAAGCCATATTGAATATCGATGTTACACTTCGCAAAAGCTGAGAAAACTTCCCGTTGAAACGTGAGAGCCCATAGGAAAACGCTGGTTAGAAGCTCCCTTCTCTAACGTTTGACTGTCATATATATGCTTTTTCTTCTTTCTGCAGCTCAACCTCACTGTGGACCATTTCGACTACCTGCTACTCAAACTGGATGCTGCTGGGTGCTTGTTTCGCAGGTGTGTCAACAAATCCCTTTTCACACGAGTTGCTGAGACTCGGTGAGTCACTACGTTTGACATGGGAGCAGTAGCAATTAGCACTGCGTTACAAGCCTTGCAACGATATTCATTTTTCGGTAATGCCTGGTTCGCACATTCCCATCCAATAGTTATATTGCGTCCCTCTCCTCATTGATGCGCTTTCTAGTTGACTATTGCCAGTCTTTCCTATATCCGCTACTAGTTTTTCTATTTAATTGATTTATTACACCTGTTATTCCTGCCCTCTACATCCACAGAGAAGCACGACGGCGACATGCTAAAGAATCAAACCTGATTAAGAACGAACTCAATTCCATCGAAACGGTTAAGGATATTTTGACACCTGAAAACCCTGACATTGCGGACGTGAAGCGTTTGCGTCTTCTTGGCATTATTACCACGATCCTTTCAGAATCAGTCAGCCGCCTTAAACAACCGGTACCCGAATCCAAAGTGCACAGTAAAGACCCAATGCTCAAAGTTGTGGCGCAACTGACTCCCGACTCACGTGTGAAATCCAAGTCTACGTCGTCCCCAGCCGGCAGCGGCATCTCCTTTGCTCCCGTTCTGCATCTCCTCACACCGTTGGTTAACCATTTGATTGGGTGAGCAGTAATATTCTGTTCCTTTCCTTTCGTTGGTTCTGCACTAGGGCAGCGAATGTTGAACAGGCGATAGCCGATGTTTCATTTGTCGTCGCAGTACTTTGGTTGCTCAGGTCGTATATTTACTTGGTTATTAGTTCGCTTACTCAGGTTTGAAATATTTCTGTGAGCATAAACAAACCTGTTGCCGCCCTGGTATTTCTGCGTAACCTCCTCAGCCAGTTTTCCTGGGTCGTTTTGCATAAAAAGAGAATCTAGGTCAGATCTACTGCTACGGAGACTGTTCCTATGTGATCTCCTCGAGCCTTTTCTCGCTCGATTTCCACCCAGTACCTACAGGCTGCGGTTTTATTACAATGTCACAAGACTAAACACTGGAGATGAGTGGTACTGTGTTACCTCAGGTTATTCATGCAGTTTTGTCTCTGGTTGATTTAGATTACGTGGAGTTCTCCAGTTAGTTGGTCCGGAAAGTCAGTATGCATTTTGCTTTGCCATTTGCTCAGACCAATAAAATAATTGAGTTTTATGAACTACAACGCGTTTGTTGGGCAAAATCAGGCCTACATCATTCCACCTTACAAGCCCATGGGTTGACTAGTCCGTGATTTTTTCGTTTCTCGTGTATATTTCTCATCTTAGTAAGCTATTCTGAATGTCGGTCCCCTTTGCACTATAGGCTCCTCAGTCAGGAACAGCGCTTTACCAAACTTCAGACGTATGCTCCTGATGTGGTCAGCAGCTCAGACTCCGATTCAGATGATGAATGCTCTACATCCCAACCCAGAGTAGCAAACTTCCTTTCTACCTCCGATGGTCCCAACCGTCCATTGCTCATGGATATCACTACAGATGACTCACAACCTGTCAGTGCTCTAGATGTCCCATGTGTTCGAACTTTGGTGCGAAGTTGCGTCCAGCGCTTGTTGGCATGTATGATTGCGATCCTGGCTGAAGGCAATAGGACCATTCAATCGAATGTTGGAAAACGACTCCGACCCACAGCTGTATCGAATAATCGGTCTGTTTCGAGTGCGTTACTCGCCGCTCAGTCAGCTGTCGGGCCTGTGTTTCAGTGTCTCACAGTTTATCCGGACTGGACGGCTCTTCATCAACAAGTCTTATTATGTTTCATTGAGCTATCTGCCATGTTTCCAGTGAGTTCTCATCAAATAACTTCACTGGTGCATTATTCTCTTTATATTATATTTTTTCCGTTTGGGAAGTGCTTTTTCTAAGAGCAATCTTCGAATTGTGTCAACCGAATAAATAATTGATTCAACGCACATCCGCATTCACCACTCCAATATCTGTCGAGCTCTTGCTGAAGCCTTGCCGTGTATCTGAAACTGGACCAATTACCAAGGCTACCTTTCGTACCAGAACATAACGTATGAGTTGGTCCCATGTTTGCCCGGCATTCGTTATGGTGAACATAACGTAATATTGCGTTATTTATTCAACAAACTCGTCTAAAAATTGGATTATGTGGTCTGGTTCGCATGTGATTTTCTTCTCCACTTTTCATGAGTTCTCAGTCTGCTCAGACGTGCATAGACCATGCACGAGCAGCAATCGATCTGCGCTGACATCCACCCCACCTCTTATAACCTTGTTCCATTTAAAAATTTTTGACGTAAATACTTATTTGACATGAAAGGAGAAAAATTCTCTCATGTTCACTTAATTTTACAGCGAATCACCTCGTTTTGCAGACGAAAGCATCAACTCGATAATCCTAATTATAACCGTAGTGGGATAAAATTCTTTTTTTGATTCAGAAAACTGAAATGCCGATATTTTTGCCACTGTATTCAGGTTGCTTTGTGTCCACGGCTGATCGGCATGATTCAGTGGATCGCCGCTAACGAACGGGTTATGCGCTTGGACAATGTGCACAGTCTGGCGTTACTTGGACGACTCGTTGTGATCGCCGTCCCTGCCCTGGTTCGCGCTTCAACTAGTCAAACGAAAGCTGCACTTCAAGTTGTCGTGCTGTTTGTGGATGGTTTTCCTGGACTAGCCAGCCACCTACCTCGACGGCGACTGGCTTTCTATACCGGTCTTGTTCGTGGCCTAGCCCAAGTCACCGGCCCACTTGCCCTAGAATCGCTAGCGTCCCCATTGCCGAGAAGCAGTTCCAAAGCCGACAAAAGTGATCGGAAAGCTGAACGTCAGCAACAGCGAACTTTATTGGAACGATGCAAGGAAAGCTGGATAAGCAGCTGGCTTTGGGCTATTTCATTGGTATTTCTCAGTCGAGATTGGAAAGAGGAAGTAGTTGGTAGGTTTGTCTTCGTTTCATTGGTTTCTTGTCGATTAATATCATCCTTTGCTGTGCTTCTAGGGTCAGCTTGTCGAGAATCATGAAACAGTCCTACTTGAGGAATATCCGTTCTACGGCAAGCTCGTAGACCTGGAATGCACTCTAGTTATTCCTCATGTGTGAGCAGACCGAAAGCGAAACACAAGACCTATGCTTTACGGTTGTTCTGTCCTGGAGAGACCACTCTCAGAAAAGAACACCTGATGCTTCCGTTAAAGGTTCGGATCCCAGTGAGATCGCTGAGGTCACACGCCCGTTTTAGAAGTACATTTTAGTCAGAATCCCACTCGGAAGAAACTGTAACTTCACTGATCCGCAGTATCTCAACCCTCGTGCTCCATTCGGGTGTCATGGCAGCTAGGTGCCGGAAGGGAGCTAACAGCTGAACGGTTATTTTTCTATTATAACAGATAACTTGTTTCTCTATTTCACCCTTAATCTTCGAGGAAAATCCAGTAATTACCAAACAGTGCGCCCTGAATATGGGGTTGGATTCCAAAAGCCGCTATCGCTTTTGTCATCCTCAGAGAGAGCAATATCACTCATGACACCAATGCTTCACTGCCGCACTACCATGAATTTAATCTAATTTTACTCAAGGTCTTAAAATAAAGAAAAGTTTGTGAGGGAGAGACCTGACCCTAGCTTATCAGAAACATTCTGAGAAGGTCGCACTTTCAAACGCTCAACCATATAATCTGGAATGAAGCTGACTGCACCAAATCCGCTGATACCGATTATCCGCTATTTCCTGCAGTGGCCAGCCAAGCGCGTGGGGTTCACAGTGGCCCCATTGTGGAAAGCCAACTAAACCACCAACACCGAAACCCATTGGAATCTCTTCCACTAAGTCGGACGTTTGCGCCACTCTGAAGCAGGCACGGAAAACAACACTCATCTTGGTAGATGATGTTTCTGTATGTGTAACACATGGCTGAGTCACCGCAGCCGATATTGAATGTAACCCGTGACTTGAGTACCTGCTGTGCAACGAAATACCCGGTTTATAATCACCTCGTCACAAATTCGTTGATCCCATCTGATACCAGTAACACGTGTGCGACATCAGTGGTCGAAACGTGAAGGCACCTCAGTTCTGTCCGGCGAGGCCGTATTTCGCAACCATATAACAATGAAGCCCTTACTAGAAGTTGTTACACACGATCCTCGATACCGAGTGATATCGTTCAGCTGTAGCACCCTTTCGGTGCCTAGCTGCCGTGCCATACGAAGGAGGTAACATGGCTGGGATACTGCCAGGTCCCCCAAGCCTAGACAAGGGAAGTCGAAAGGCAGAGGTCGGGGTGATATGCCTTTTGGACACCATAAGTGACGTGAATCGGCAGACCTCCACAACTTATAGTGCTTCTGTAACTGCAGTGGAACGTGTTCTGGGACTCCGCGTTTTAGAGTACGACTACACGTTGTATATGCAAGGTTCATTCCGAAAGATTATCTAACAGTGCTCGTGATTGACCTGCGTCTTCAGAAATGCGGACGACATTGTATCCGTACTCCATATTTACAGAGTCTTCACCATCAAAGATTTGAACACCAGGGTTTCGAAGATCCATCAGCGTTCATGCCATAAGCTCTTTGATGACGAATTTGAGCGAGAATGGATAGAGCGGCTATGCGTCACAATTTCTTCAGCACCCGTGTGTTGATTTGCAGTAAGGAACAAGTCCTCGTTTGACTGAGATTTCTGTCATTCTTCTGCATCTTTACTAGAGAAGCGATAATTTACGACAACTGGTTGTATTCACTAATTCTTATTTTTATGAAACTGCATGATTCCTTTGAGTGCATTGAAGAATTTTCCCCGGAACTTGAGGGCAAATAAGATCATTTAGCCGAATTCGGCTATGATACATATGTTGAAATGACGGCGACAGAAGCAGTTTGAAATGCGGAGCAACTGCGACATCTCTCTCTTGTGGTGGATTCTATCATGGGTTTCATTTCGCTTAAGGCTCGCTTATCTTGTTCTTGGTGTTTGATTGGAATGGAGCTATGTGAAGGGCCGCTCACAGGAGCTCCGCTTCGTTAAAGCAAATCAAGTATGATGTACTTTATAGACAGTTGGTCTCTGACAACTGTGATACTCGCGTTTATCCAGCCCGTCTCAACACAGTAAACACCAAACGATCATCTTTATGTTTGCTAGTTATTTTTAATACGGACTATAATATAGAACTTTTTGACCTCAAATGCTTTCAATCTATATAATCACCACTGATCTGCACACACGATAGCCGTTTGCTTCGTGCGCTTTAGTGCGAATCACCGCGAACGATAGAAAGTCAGGATGTCTCATATCTAAGAGCAAATCGCTCTGGTGGAGCTGCAAATAGTGTCCAAAAGTCTTATGGTAGGGTTACTAATGCGTACGCGTTACTTAGTAACCGTACTATAGCTCTTTTAAGGACCTTGTCATTCGTGGACACTATATTGTGCACTTGCTAAGCTGGCCCACCTACCCCTCTTCTTTTTCTTCTTAGCTGATCAAGTAGTCCCACTGTTGGTTGATATTCACAACCAATTCCCCTGGGACAAGCAAGTGGCTGCCTGGTGCGAGTGTCTAGGATTCCTGTTTTGGCTGACCAAGAATAGTGAACAGTTGACAGGCGAAAACAAATGCCCAATTCGATTCAAGCGTCATGTAAGTGCCTGATAGCTTCCCTCTGTAATTCATCTTATTTTGAGTGTTTTGTCAACAATGATACTACTGTATACCCAAGAACCACAGATTTGATTCCGAATCCTGGAACCGTTATCTTTTTTGCAACCTATTTGCTTCATCTTCAAAAATCTGCAACTTCCTCTCGTGTGGACCTTCTGGCCTGCGAATGAAAAGTATCTCCTTTGGTAGCAGTGGCGAGTAATTTCGATTTCGTTCGCCTCGATATCCACGTAAACATATCGTGCTGACAGAGTAGCTAGTCTGTTGACGGAGTGGTGAATCTCCGTATAATACGTATGTGCTTCTCTCCCCAAACGTCACTGGTGGTTTACTGACCACCCGAAAAATCCAGGAAACGTTTGGTAACCCCACAACTAATACGACGGTTTTTCCGCTGAATGTACTTATGAGCATTGAATGCATTTTGATGAAAAACGGTGGGAATTACATAGTTCAAGTGAATTCAGTATATGGTGCAAGTTTTGTCAGGTGCTGATGAAATCCAAAGCGAATTTTAACCGTTCGGGTCAATCTCCGAAGTAGGTCAAGATTCAGAGGTCCGGGGAATCATTGATTGTTCCATTCGGCTGCTTTCGGCAACTCCGACATGCGCAAATGTGCACCGTACAGTGAAATCAACCACCGATTAGTGGACTTATATTGCAGATTTGTCTAGTCTTTTACCGTGAATCTGGTTAGTTCTACTAGTTTGGTGCCCAGCTTCAGACTGGTCTTTACCCTCACTGTAGCAGTATCTGTTCTACTAAACAGCTGTCAGGCAAGGTTGATTATGCTTACCTGAAATAATTCCGAACGATCATTTTAGTAAAGGCAGCTGGTGCAGTGAGGAAACCAAAATCGTGAGTGAAAAACCCCTCGAAGGTTGCAATTTCATGAAAACCAAGATACCCGGCCTGCATAGCCGATTAAAGCTTAGGGAAACCGATGTATGAGGCTATTTAGAAGTTAAGCGACATCTTCGAAGGACTCTACGAACACCGCGCTTGATTTTTATTGGCACAACACTAATTGCGGAAAAGCATACTTCGTAATTTTCACCTCCTAAGTCCTGTAACATCTATTTGGATTCGTCTTTACTTACCTGCGAAGCACAAACTCTGATAATCGCATAAAGTATTTCTTGAAGAAAGTAAACCTATTTATTTTGGGGGTTGCTGTCTCGTCTCATCATCATCATCGACAGCATGACATCAGTGTTCAACACCGATGCTTCACTGTCTCGTCTAGGCACTGTGGTACTTTATTCAGGAATACTAGGATCTTGTAATGCTTTTCCTTGCCAGCCGTCTCAGCGAAGGTTCATTCAAACAGGGGACGAGCACACTCCCAGGTAAACTGAACACTTGTGCATCCAGCATTCCGATAAATTTGGTCAATAGTCCCATCCCGATGCGAACGCTAGGGTGAACTGATTGTGAGTTTTACATGTGTGAATTTTTTAGAACATTCAAAGACAGCTTCGATGGTTTTTCTCGCTCTAGTAGAAGATGGATCCATCCGAATACACTATGTTTTCCTGAGGAGACGAATGGTGAACTTGATGGTCAAAGTATTGATTCCAACAAGTTGATAAATATTGTCATCTTTGAACTCGAGCTCGTAAATTAGGGTGATGTTTCCTTCCCTGTGTTTCGCTCCACAATACTCGCCAAACATTGCTTTTCCAGACAGTAGTCCTACAGGTTCTCTGATGAATTTTAAGCCGGTGATCCAGTCCTTCGATTTTTCGTCTCAGCACTCACTTCGTTGTCTCTAGTTACCTTGTTTACTAGACTGTTGCCTTCTGGGACGTTGTCCTAGTTACTTATCGCTGGAGTCTTTCAGGTTTTTTAGCCCATTGTACAGCAATATCCACTATCTATTCTCGGGTTTCGGGAATTCTTCTACATGTGCATTCTCATAGCGAACTCGATAGGTACTCAAGGTCCATTCTAGAGATTCACCTCACTTTCCACAGTGAAAGTTTGTAAGTTGATGGGTAACATGGGTCTTAATGTTCGCTCCAATTGCATACATTTACATTGGGAAATAATGAATAGTACATGTTAATTTATCTGGAACGGTTGTCAATAGGTCGTGGGAAGTGTATGTGTGGAACCTTTCAATCTGTCTGCGGAAGATCATTACTGGTGATGCGCAGTATGAAATTGGGATGAGGATATCTTTGGCAGGTTAGGAAATTGTGAATGAAATATCGAATGGATGAAGCGTTCTACTCATGTTGTTCTTGCGACTACGTGGATAAGATGTTGTCTCGAATGTTAGCAGATCGTACCAACCCGATAGTTTTGTTTTCAGTGCCCATTGAATCGGTACATATTTCTTTGCCGTCATCGACTTACCTAGTACTCTACCGATTTCAGATGAATCGCGATCTTTTAAGTGTCCAACAGAACGTTTCCATTTTAATTGACCTACTTGTCATTTTATCCTCACTGCGTTAATGGATTACACGGTTCCAGTGGGTAGAGACAAAAATTGTGGTGAACCGCACGTTAGTTTGAGAGGCAGTACGTAAGCGGATAATAGATTCACTGACAAGCTGCGGCCATTAGCGTTGGATGTCCTTACTTTCGTGTGAGGTTGCGGTTGGTCTTACCACACAATATGTATTCGTCCACAGGTGGACGATGAGGTGTGCCGAAGCTATTTTCACGCCCTCCTTCCACGATTACCCTGGCGAGACAGGTGTCACTTCTCTGGATCCCTGAACCCTGCTCGTTTTCCTAACTGTTTGGAAAGATGGACCATCGCCTTCAATGTCTCATTGCCCTCCGTTTATTTTCCTCATCATCGACGGACAATATTGCATTGGCTAGGAGCAAAGTACATTTGGTAGGCGGAACTTCACCGACGGAGTACTGATTGAGTTGAGATATTTACTTTTTTGACCAACAAAGCACATTTTAACTGGCCAGATACCAGCCTATTGAACAATCCGGGCAGCACCCAAGTGTGTGCTTCCGGTTTGGTAACCATCGGTAGATTTATTTAGTGTGCCCTGTTTATCAACTGAATCTCGTTACTGGGATCTAGTATGGCTTGTTGTACGTTCAGTTCGGAAACAAAACGAGCCCTGTGTTCCTTAGGACATGAATTTATCGGTCTCTTCACTATACGATGAGGTAAAGTTTTCGTAGCCGCTCACTCGGCCCTCGAAATAGGGCCGTTGGTTTTTTCACTGAACTCAGCAGTTGTCCGACAATTCAACGACGATTGAGGGCACAACACGTTTCTTACAGCATTTTTATTCATGATTGTGTGATTAACAGGTGATACATGCTGTCAGTGTTATTGCGTTCCCTGTAAGAACTTCTTTGGTTAGTAATTGGAAGGTGGTATGAATAGATGGGTAGTATTCCATTTCTGTGTCTCAATGGTCTAAGTGACATGTCTGTTAAGTGTTCTTTGGGATACCTTGTAATTTCTTGCCATATAGTGCGATATTTTCCAAAGTCCCATTGACGTATCCTAGAAAATGCTACTAAACATGTGGTTACTTTCCGGATTTACCGCAAACATTAGGTGGCGGTCCCTTCTGTGGAATTATTTTTCACATGCTAAAAAAGCTAAGAAACGGGAGTGACCGCTTTAGGACAATGGGAGTGTATCTCTAGAAATTCATTTTATTTTAAATTTAATTTCTTGAATGCCCGTAATTACGACTTTCCAACTACCTCTCCGCATGCCTGGGCCGTTGACGGCCTTGTCAACCAATCAGTTCGTCTCCCAAATTATCATGGGCCATATAGTGCCGCAGTCACCGATATGTTGCTTTGATGTTTCGGTTGTTGCAACATGATAATAAGCCTTTGTTGTGTTGTGATTGTTGCAACATGATAATAACATGATAATAAGCCTTTGTTGTGTTGTGTAATATCCTTACTATTTTAGTTCATCTTGGAGACACCTTCCAGAAAACTTCAAGTTGTCGATACTGAGATCGCACCTCCACCGAAGCGACAGCGAACTGCTTCCCGCAGCGAACTCTCCGAAATTCCCACTTCCATTCCACCTGAAGATATTTGCTCTTCCAATGTTATATCGGTTCATGTGGCAGAGGCGCTGGTCTCTACATTATTCAAAAGCAAAGTAACAGATGAGCTGACTCCGGTCAACTCCTCTGTTCCACCACTAAACCCATCAACCGTATGGTCTCTGACTGGCCGAGCTGTACAGCTGCTTACAACTCTTTTGACCGATCCTACGTATGGAAGCAAACTGGAAGCAGCTTCTGGTGACCCACTCGGACTGAGTGCAGTGTATGGGCGGCTGGTACAACAGATTGTCCACCTGATGATTGCAGCCGCATCCATAATGGCCAGGCTAAAACCAACGGACGAGAGTTTGTCTGATTGTACGGTCCTACTAGAGGGAACCAAACGGTCGCTTGCTGGACTTCAGACTGTGTTAATGCAGGTTCGTTTCCATGGCCACACTGATTTCAGTCATACACCAAGAGTCGTTTCGTTATAACTTAGGAAGGATGTCACTATGGTTCGTTTCTTAGTATTTTAATTTATCGATTTNCTCGAAATAGGGCCGTTGGTTTTTTCACTGAACTCAGCAGTTGTCCGACAATTCAACGACGATTGAGGGCACAACACGTTTCTTACAGCATTTTTATTCATGATTGTGTGATTAACAGGTGATACATGCTGTCAGTGTTATTGCGTTCCCTGTAAGAACTTCTTTGGTTAGTAATTGGAAGGTGGTATGAATAGATGGGTAGTATTCCATTTCTGTGTCTCAATAGTCTAAGTGACATGTCTGTTAAGTGTTCTTTGGGATACCTTGTAATTTCTTGCCATATAGTGCGATATTTTCCAAAGTCCCATTGACGTATCCTAGAAAATGCTACTAAACATGTGGTTACTTTCCGGATTTACCGCAAACATTAGGTGGCGGTCCCTTCTGTGGAATTATTTTTCACATGCTAAAAAAGCTAAGAAACGGGAGTGACCGCTTTAGGACAATGGGAGTGTATCTCTAGAAATTCATTTTATTTTAAATTTAATTTCTTGAATGCCCGTAATTACGACTTTCCAACTACCTCTCCGCATGCCTGGGCCGTTGACGGCCTTGTCAACCAATCAGTTCGTCTCCCAAATTATCATGGGCCATATAGTGCCGCAGTCACCGATATGTTGCTTTGATGTTTCGATTGTTGCAACATGATAAGAACATGATAATAAGCCTTTGTTGTGTTGTGTAATATCCTTACTATTTTAGTTCATCTTGGAGACACCTTCCAGAAAACTTCAAGTTGTCGATACTGAGATCGCACCTCCACCGAAGCGACAGCGAACTGCTTCCCGCAGCGAACTCTCCGAAATTCCCACTTCCATTCCACCTGAAGATATTTGCTCTTCCAATGTTATATCGGTTCATGTGGCAGAGGCGCTGGTCTCTACATTATTCAAAAGCAAAGTAACAGATGAGCTGACTCCGGTCAACTCCTCTGTTCCACCACTAAACCCATCAACCGTATGGTCTCTGACTGGCCGAGCTGTACAGCTGCTTACAACTCTTTTGACCGATCCTACGTATGGAAGCAAACTGGAAGCAGCTTCTGGTGACCCACTCGGACTGAGTGCAGTGTATGGGCGGCTGGTACAACAGATTGTCCACCTGATGATTGCAGCCGCATCCATAATGGCCAGGCTAAAACCAACGGACGAGAGTTTGTCTGATTGTACGGTCCTACTAGAGGGAACCAAACGGTCGCTTGCTGGACTTCAGACTGTGTTAATGCAGGTTCGTTTCCATGGCCACACTGATTTCAGTCATACACCAAGAGTCGTTTCGTTATAACTTAGGAAGGATGTCACTATGGTTCGTTTCTTAGTATTTTAATTTATCGATTTGTTTTTACTTCTCAACTAGGTTTGATTAGCCCGTGTCATGCTCACTGAGCTACAGCATGCGATTCACATCTGACTTATTGGTTGACTGTATATACTCTCCTAGCTTAATGCGTGGTGTTTGCGCCGGTTTCACGCTTTGGGCCGAGTCGACTCGTAAACCACCTTCAATACCGTTATTGGTGAGATGGCTGAGTGGTTAGAGCGCCAGTTTACTGAACGAAAGATCCATGGTTCGAATCCGACCTCAGTGTTTCTCCCTTTCCTATCTGGGAGAAGTATCCCACTCTTCGTGCTTCCTTCCGGTGGCATATCAGCTAGGCACCGAAAGGGCGTTATGGTTGAACGATCAACTATTATTAGCCTTGGCATTCGTCTTAAATGTTGGTGCCCACTGGTTTACTTAGTCGACAAAAATTTAGTAATCTATTGCCGTAAACCTTCAGAGAGTACAGATTTCAAACACTGCATAGAAACAGAAGGTGGAGATGGATTGACAGTCATGTTTGGCAGAGTATCTAGTCAATGTCTTTTTGGGTCACACAGACTCTTCTAGTGAGTGACTTTCAGCCTCTTTGCAGTTGCATTTGATTTTCGTAAATGCTGAATTGGTATACGGACACATGACCAAACAAGCGCGGGCGATACAGACAAATGCATTCCTGTCGTACATCGATAAACTTATTTTTCAAATTAATAAAGACGTCAACCGATGATAACTGTAGTTGCTTTTAGGTCGGTCGTTATCATGGTGAAAGCGCCTCTGGTCCTGTGTCTTCTAAGAACCTCGTGAGTGTTGAAATACTAGCTAAGACATAGCTGTTTGCCGAATTGTTCAAGTTTAATTACACGGCGTCAATTTTTGCTACAATCCTTCAGCCATATACATAACCTAGTTCAACGGTGTATCATTCCGGCTCCATCCTACCTGAAGAAATAGCGTAAGAAAGTAAGGGAAAAATCGTCTGTATCATTTCATTTTCGCCTCGGCTGATCAGAAAATCATGTCCAAGGTGCCCTGTTGCGATACTATTTTATGTTTCACACTTTTATTCTATCCCTCTTATTCAGATCCATGACTCTGTTTCTGGTCACATATTCATCCGCATGGTATCCGACTTGTTCGAATCGTTGAACCAAGGTTTGCGTCGAAAAGCTCTTGACTTGTTAGCGGCGAAGCTAACAAGCTTTACCACCACATGTGAACCGATCGCTATTCTGGAGGATCCTGCTCTATGTCCCTCTGCTCCTGGTAAGAAAAAGTGCAAGAAGCATCGTCATTTGCATGCCCAAGTGGATTTAACGTTAGAAGCTGGTCTCGTTCAATTAACTGCTCAACTGGCATCTCAGTATTCGCAGCCAGAAGCCGTACACTCAAAAACGAAAGAAACAAAGTGTTTCGGTTCCTCGTTCCACAGACAATGTTTGTCTTGTCTGCGAGACTTGGCCAAACTGCTCGCTCATCGATATCCTGGTGAATTCATGAGGGTATGTCTTTGAATCTCGTTCTACCCCCTTCTTCAACTATCCAATGCATCTGTCTCGGTTGACTGACCGCGTTTCGATCTTTTTTTTCATTTTTACAGACTTTGGACATTCTTATTGCCAGTCCTGAAAACTGGTGGCCCGTTCAGCATAAAGTGAATGATACTGACAATGCGGTGGAGCCTAGAGGATCAGGTGTTGCAGAGTCGCGGTCACTTAATTGTCTGTTCTTTGTCGAATGTCTCCAACGCCTTCCATCACAGTCCTTATGCCCCAATGCCAGTGCCACCACACACCGTTTGGGTGTGCTTCTTCATTTCGCTTTGGATCATTGTCTGACAAGCTGCCGCCTCTCACAAGGTCCTTTGTTGATATTGAATGACTTGAAGGCTTCGAACAGTGCTTCCAACACTTTGCCTCACCTTGTTATTGGTCTCGTCCATTCAAGAGATCAGCATCTACAAGTAAGTGGTCTATCCTGAAGGAGAGCTGTGCAATTTTCTTAAGCTGCCGTAAGTGTTACTCCTGTAATGTTATGCAGTGGTGAATGTCACTGAGCCTTGTTGTTGTCTGGAACACCTGGTTCCTCGAATAAGCCTGTTCACTTCAAATTCCCAAGTAGGAAAGTAATACGACTCATCCCCATCTACGCCGGTGATAATGTGGTGATTGGGGTTGTTTTTTACTCGTTTACTCAATGGGCCTGTTTAATTGAAAATGTTACCCATGGAAAAATGAATAATTCCAGCTTTTATTCAGACATCTATTTGTTTCCCCCCGGTTTCCTCACTCCACTTATTGCCCTAGTTGGTGGATTTTCATAACTGTTCTTGAAATCCCCAATTTTCTGTTTCTTAACCTTGTGATCCTATCCCGAAGTCCGTGTCTCCATATAGGATTGGCATCTCTTACCAACAGCCATCCGAACCCAAACATCCAAACTTTGGGTCTCCGGTTTGAGAATTGACCTATGTGGCCCTCTGGAGGCTTGTCAGTTGAAAACTGCAATATGAAGTGGACCTCACACAACCGTTAAATAATTGCTTTGGACGGCGGAAGTATACAGAGGAATACATGTCGGATACCGCTCAACCTTCCCTTGTCTGATCTCCTAGCCACCACCGCGTAACCTAATCTAATAGGAGTGTTGTATCGTGTAGCTCTGTCCCTGTAGGAAGCTCAAAAGACCAAGTTGCCCACGCCTGGATGTAAGGAAACATGGATAGGCACAAATCGCAAGTCTTTCGGTTAGGAAATACTCATTTGTCCCCATGTATCATTTGTCTAAACAGTTTGTGTTTTGCTCTTTGCTCTCCGTTGATTATACGTACCTCACTTCCTAACGTGATGTGAATTATCAGTAGTTTGAGGTTCCTTGTTGGATTCGGGTCCGATGGGTAGTGTACTCGTTGCACGATCGACTGTGACGGCGAACAAGACACGGTAGTATCGTTGGCTGTATGTAAGACAGTGAAAGAAACATCCCCAATTTACTTGATAGTTCACCTAGAACTCGCCCTTTTTTGCTAAGCTCTTTTGACCTTATCATTTCCGGCGGTGGTAATTTTTTTTCTGTTCGGACCATACGAGTCTCTCTAAGGCGATACTTTTTCTTTGAGCGGACAACTAATGTAGAACTCTGCTTCGTGTGGTATCATAATCATTTGCGGCCATCCAGGGGCACTTTGTCCGCAGTTGGTGAGTAGTACGGTATCTTGTAATTCATCCACTTTGCGCGGCCATGTTGAGCCGCGGTCAGTAAGTGGTGTGAACTGTCAATCGAAAAAACACGCGATCGATTTTTGTACAGTCGCAGTCAGGACGAATTGCCTAATGGATTACTGCATTCCACTTTTATGAGTTACCCACTACCGTTCATTTGTTTTTACCTGCACATGCTGTGTTTAAATTCCGTGCTGTCAGCCGACCTCAGTAAGAAACACTGAATTTTTTCATCGCCTTTAACCGCTGATCTATGCAAGCCGTGTTTGTTGGTTACCATCTAACTGCAACAGTTGCTTTAGGTCCTTATTGAAAGCCGGTAATGCCCGAAGATTATTTCAGTTGATCCGTGCGACCGGTCCCCGGAAGCCTCCTGTGGGTGAAACTATCAAACACCAGAATGGGGCGACCATCTCGAACAAAGAAGAATGCCTCCACCGGTGGGCCGAATACTTCGAACAACAACTGTCATGGCCACCAGCCGACACTCATATAGGGCCCACAGGTGAAATAGAACCCTGGACGGTGAACGTGGAACCACCTACTACCTCTGAGGTTTACGACTGCATATGTTCCCTCAAGCGCCACCGAGCTCCC